ATTTAATATATTTCAAATGAAATCACAAAAATTTGTATTAATAATTGATAATAATATTAAATATCCAAAATATATATATGGGGAAATATTGAGATACTAAAAATAGCATAATAGTTACCACTCTGGTCAGTATATTCAATCCCTTTCTCCTCACTATACTTAAGACCTTGAGATACCCGATTCCCGTCGCTGGCTCCCTGAATTGTAAATTGTGCCAGGCATACCGGAAGGGCAGTCAGTAACAAAACCTGTTCGAACCCAACCAAATAATAAAATCGATTAAAAATCTTCAAACAATTTCAATTATCATAAATTTCATCTGAAATGTGTGCATGTGTGTGTATATTTCCTATACTCTTATTATAATACAATGAATTAAATAAAACAAGAAAAAAAATTCTATCATTTCGTATTATACTTTCGTCTAATTTAACATCAATCCTAATCGATTATCTAACTCTGAGTTTATAAAAGGGAAAATAGTAATAAGATAAAAAAAAAAAACTTGATCGGGTGATTACGCTTGTGCCGGTTTAACATGAGAGTTACGTTGTTGGCTATATCTGTAAGCATGGTTCTCCTTTCTCGTTTCACGACGAGGGAAAGTTTGAAGTCGAGTGTAAGTTACCAGTCGTAAGAAAACTTCTAGTTAGTTTTAATATTAGCCAAGGAAAAGGTAAATCACCTTTGCTATACCTTATCGAGTTGTAACAATATTTTTATGATAAATTAAATAATAAAATTAACGTGAAAGAAAATAAAATATAAAATTACGAAAATAAAATATATATATATATAATAAAAAACAATTATAAAGAATAAAAATGTTAATCATTGAAAAACTTATAAATATATATAAAATAAAAAACAATTATAAAGAACAAAAATGTTAATCATCGAAAATGATTGCAGATATTATTAGCAACAAGTTTAATCGTTCAACTAGAAAGTTAAATTATAAATTGTCTCGATGGAGACACGCCTAACTTATGATTGAACGATAAACAAAAAAAATAAAAAACACCCCATAATCATTCGAGCAGGGGAAAGAATATTTTTTCTTTTTTTCTTTTTTTCACATAAGTACTTACGAAACTCAAATATTCTAGCTGGCTAAACGTTTACGAATAATTAATGGTTGTAAGAAAATTCATTTACAAGGAGAAAAGAAAGGTGTAGAAAGTTATTTTTTTTAATCTCATTAAACCATCATTTTAAACGTAAAATTTTGTTCAAACAAAAAAATCTAATGAACTCCTAATAATATAATAATCATCTAATTAACGTCATTACATTTTGAAAAGAAAAAAAAAGAACAAAATAATAATTAACAAACAAACAAACAAAATGATAGAAAATTATAAACTCTCCAATTTCTTCTTCGCGTAATTAAACACAAATCAAAACGAGTTAAAAAAAAAAACACGTAAGAAAAAAGTGGAAAATTAATGGGGGGGAAAATGGAAGGAAGTAAGAAAATTGAGTTTGTATATGACACACAAATGATCCACACAATTAATCTATAATAATATTATTACTTACGTGTAATTTCATGGTGGAACGTGTAGAAAACAATGGTGGTGTCTATGCGTTCAAAAGGGTGGAGTGTTTCTGAGGCGGGCGCGCGGTCACCAGAAGAATTTTATACCCCGGGTGAATGTAAAAGGGGGCCGAGCATGTAACTCACTCCAATCGGGGATGTGTGATTCTCTCCACCTCCATCTTGCCCATTTTATTCTACACTCGACTTCCCAGTCAGGTATCGAGATATCGATTACAATTTCCTAAGTCAATGTCCTCGCATGATCAACCATTCAAAATATTACTAACAAAATTAATTCTGTAAATTAAATTTACAAATGATAATAATAATTCAATCATAATCATAAATACATAAATAATCATAATTC